CCTATCAGCCTTTCCGAGTCTGTAACTGTAACCTACAGGAGCTGTGACTTGTACTGCGGACTATGGCCACCAATGAGCATGTCGACCTGGCCCTTCTGACGTTCGACTGTCTACAAAACCTGGCCACCCGGACTGGCATCCCGAAAGCGGACTCCTTCTCACGGCCCGACCTGGTGGGAGCGCTCCGGAAGGAGGGGATTGGGTCCCACCCCATCCTGGAAGGTATGACCGGTATAGGACATGTCACGACTGCTTTGGCCGCATTGTCCTCGACAATAATGGACCTGAATAAAGAAATAGTGGCAATTAGGGTGGGAAGAGATGATGAAATTGCTTCCTTGAAGCTTGAAATTCAACAGCTGAGGCGGGAAATGGCTGACCTGCGAGATACTAGCGTACACACACAGCACGCCATGCCACACCAGTACAGCGACGTAGTACTAGGAACCGCCACACAAACTGCAAGTGCACGTGCGAGGCTCAGCACCACAACGGGCAGGTCTGTACAAACGTACGGTACACACGCCGGCAGTGGCAGCCTGCCAGGAGAAACGCGTGTGCAACAACCCAACACTACTACAAGTCGTAGTTCTAGCCCCGCAGCAGGCGTGCATGCATCCCGTAGGTCCAGCACTACTACAAGTCGTAGCTCCAGCCCCGCAGCAGGCCTGGATGCATCCCGTAGGTCCACCGATACTGAACAACAAGTACATGAATGGCAGGAACACCAGGACAGACGCACTCGAGCCGCCCAGAGACAAAGGCACGCGGCAGATACTAGTAGTCAGTCCCAGCTAGCTCAAAGCATAACAAGGCGGGTGGAAACATCCCGCTACACCAAGCCGGCTCGTGATAGCGAGCCGGCAGTAGACCTCACGGCATCACCCCGGGCCAAACGCAAAGTGTTTTACGTTGGCAACGTGCAGCCACACTGCTCCGCATCATCAATTGCTGAATGGTGCTCTGCCCGAGGAGTGCAGATTCAGGAAGGTGTCATATTTGCATCCAAGCACTTCAGAACTGCCTACGCACGGGTGACCGTCGAGGCAGCTGATGAGAACACAGTCGGTGACAAAGGGTTCTGGCCGGATGCTCTTTCGCACACGGTTAGGCCCTGGCGTTTTGCCGCGGACAGTTTTGACACCAGCAATGCCAACCAGGCAAACAACGTCCTCTCCTCAGGCTCAGCATGATGGCGCGACCACAGCTGAATCCACTGGCTCGGCCCTACTTCCCCCCTTGCCAGGGTAAACTGACCTTGCTTTCCGTAAATTGCCGCTCAATCGTTAACAAATCTGCCGAACTGTCTGTCATTGCTGATTTCAACAAACCTGATGTCATCTGTCTAAATGAAATATGGCTAAATCCAAGCATAGCGCTCACCATCTCCGGTTATACCACATTTCGTCGCGACCGACCACCTCATGATAACAAATCCGGTACGGCAACCAGAGGATATGGTGGAGTTGCGATTCTTGTCCGGCAAAATCGCTTCGGAAGAGTCCAAGTTCGCGACGACCTTGCTCGTCCGACCTGTGAATCCGTATGGGTTGAGCTTCACCCAATCTTAGGCTCCCCGACACCCATCCTCGTCTGCTGTACCTACCGTCCGCCCTCAGTCAAAACCACGGAAATAGACCACTTCTGTGATATGCTAGCTAGTGCTTTGGTAACCGTTCCCATGTCATCGTACCATGTCATAATGGCTGGGGACTTCAACAGTAAGCACAAACGGTGGTGCCCATCGGATTTAACGTGTCCTGCTGGGGCGGCACTTTTTCGCACCCTTACCTGCTTCGGTTTGGATCAGCTGGTGCAGAGTCCAACGCACACAACATCTTCCGGAACACAGTCATGTCTAGACCTTGTCTTCACAAACCAACCCCTGCTGGCGACGGACGTTCACACAGCTTGCGCTCTTGGCTCCTCGGACCATCTCATGGTTTCATGCCAGTTCGCCGTCTCATTGCCCTCGGACCCAGACCTGCCACTTCCTTCTCGCAAACCGTTCCCATATCGCTTCCGTCGAGTTCCCTCTCAGTGCTGGGACTCTATGAACGCTGATTTCTCCTGCCACGACTGGTCGTTTCTGCAACCAGAAGGCTCTCCAACTGTTGACGCCGCGGTAGATCACTTTGCAGCCGTCCTTGAACGAGGGTTCCAACAGCACCTCTCTAACTTTGCTATCGGCTACAACAACCGGAAACATTCCAACCCAACATCCTCGACATCTAGTCCCCCATGGGTGACACGGTCCCTCGTATCTGAAGTGAAGCGCAAGCGTGATCTTTTCAGCATCTACAAGAAATTCCCAACGCCGGTTAACCGGGAGGCTTACCGAGTTCAACGCAACTTCGTCAAGCACCTTTCTCGTACCTCACACCGCTCCTTTCTAAACTCTCTTTCTGCAACACTCTCCTCCCCCGATCGCCCATCACTCCACCAATTCATTCGCAACCAGTGCCGCGGGACCTCCCGCGCGCCAATCCAGTACCTGACGGACTCCAATGGCAACCGCCAGCACGATGTGAAGGCGATTGCAGACACACTGAACAAGCAGTTTGTTTCATCCGGCATTCCGGAGGATCCGAATTGGGACATTCCATCGCTGTCCCCAGCCCCTGAACTTAGCGCACCACTCACACGCGTCGTTACCACGACTGCTACCGTCTATAAGCACCTCAAACTCCTGAAGAATTGTAAGTCCCCTGGCGAAGATGGCATACCCAATGAGGTTCTCAAATGGCTTGCGCCATCTCTGTCCTATCCCTTGTGCCTGCTCTTTAACATGTCATATCGTACAGGAGTATTTCCGTCCGTCTGGAAATCTGCTGTTATCGTCCCGATCTATAAGAAAGGCCAACGCTCTCAGGCTGGCAACTACAGACCAATCTCTCTCCTTCCCGCTGTGTCCAAGGTCTGTGAACGTATTTTCTTTGAGTCTCTGTACTGCCACGTCACCCCAGCGCTTTCACCATCTCAATCCGGTTTCTGCCGTGGAGACTCCACAACTTTCCAACTAACGCGTCTAGTACAAGACATCTACACCCAGCGGAACCTCAGGCGGCATGTTGGCATCGTGTTCTTTGACCTAGCGAAAGCTTTCGACACCGTCTGGCATCGTGGTCTGCTTGCAAAGCTAGAGTCCGTCTTCTTGGTACATGGTCCAGCCCTGCAATGGCTCTCATCCTATCTTTCCTGCCGCCACCAGACTGTCAGAGTATCTACCTCCCTATCAGACCCATTACTCGTGTTAGTCGTGTCTGGGGTACCCCAGGGGTCCATACTTGGGCCGCTCCTATTTCTACTGTACGTTAATGACTTGCCAGCCCTTGTACCAAATGTAAGTCTTTTTGCTGACGACACTGCTCTGATGTGCTCCGACAGCTCGGCAGACAACCTCACGGCCTCCATGCAGTCCGGGGTCAACGCTACAGTAACATGGATGGAAACCTGGAAACTGAAGCCTAACCTCGCCAAAACCGAGGCCATGTTCTTCTCTCCCTCGCCCCCCACTCAGCTTCTGTATTTTCCTGGTCTAAATAGTACACCTATTAAAGTTGTTAACGAGCACAAGCACCTGGGCGTTATTCTCGACCGCCAACTCTCCTGGTCTCCACAAGTCCAGTCTGTGTGCAAGCGTGCGAGTGCGTCCTTAGGTATGCTACAACCCCACTGCCAACACTTTGCCTATATTTGACTATTGCGATATAGCTTGGTGCGGGTTGTCTCAGACTTTACTCCACAGACTGGAAGTACATCAACGCTTGCTTCTGAAAATTCTGTTTCGAAAAGACCAAACATTTGCCTCCCTTTGTCTTTATAAACTTGCTTCCACGCACCCTCTTCTTGCCCGACATCAGCAGCATCTTTGTATCCTTGTGCAAAAAATCTTCCTAGCCCAAGTCCCGAAACATATTGCCAAGTACAACTGGTTTGTTACCACTAGACCAACACGCAATGCCTTATCACTGCCCCGAGCTAGTTCCTCTCTGTTTTTGAAATCCCCTTTCTTCTCAGCATACTCCCTTTGGTCTAACCTGCCTACTAGCATTAAGACATGCCAGGATATCAGGAAATTCAAAGTCCAGCTTTCCACACTGTCTCATCCGAAGTGATCCCATGTATTACTAATGTGCCTCCCTTTCTTTTTCTCTCCCTATCTCCTTTCCCTCTCTGACAGCATCTTTCTTTTTCTCCCTTTTTAGCTTGCCGTGGTTGGCTATCACCTGACCTCTCATGTTTATTGGCAGTATTCGGACGGGCCAGGAGATGTTGAATAAATAAAATAAAAAAATAATAAAAGAGGAACGTTTTATTAAATTATTACACTTAACTCGTGGTCCATGACTAATTGGCAGGCAAAGTGCGAGAGATGGGTGATAGCCAACTTTGGCAAGAAAAGAAAAGAGTAAGGAAAAATTCAACTCGGATGGTGAGCCTTTTAAATTATGGTGAAAAAGGAGAAGGAAAAAAATGTTACGAATTTTTGACTAACTGTCCATCAACGTAACCAGATCTTATAAGGTCAGCGATTGCGACAAAATTGCACAAAACTGACAAGGAGTACTGGGACATTCGGAGACCTGACACCTAGCTCCAACACTCCTCCAAGTATTTCGACTCCGCCGTATCGCTGATGCATCATGCATGGTATACGCTATATGCGCTGTGTGTGATTTACTGTATACGCTGTCATTTGCTTTACATATCTGGTATTCTTAGACTGAGTTATTAAGTTCGATCAAGTGAAATATACCGTTAAGAAAAAGCAGTTGTCCTCGTGCCGTGTGCTCGTTCATTCCTGACACTTACGAAAATCAGAGGCGTCGTAACAAAGCATTTCGCACACAGCGTCTACAACTGTTTCCTTCAATCACTACAGCAGATAATAATACTCACAGATGTTAGAGTTTTGTTCATCACGCATTCAGCAGTACTCTATATACACACAGGTATAATTACTATTCTCTGCGTTCAGTGGTGCAGTTGAGAATACTTACAGTGCTTAGAGGTTTGGTAGACCGGAGAACACACCATCACTTAAATTCTGGATCTGATTATTGGACAAATATCTACAGTTGACAAAGCACAAAGACAATGTTGTTCTTGCTATGTTCAGGGTAGTGCACAAAACACGGAGTATAGGATAATGAAGTTCTACTCTAAAACGCCTAATCATGACCTTGTTTTCAGAAATAACCTAGACTCCTAACCACAAAATGATTCGTATGCAACCGTAATTTTTCTTCTGCTGTAAAGCAAGAGGTTTGTTGCAAAGCTAAGAAAACACAATTTCTAACGATGCATTGTTTGACAATGCAGACAAATAACTGGCCGCCGAGGAATGAACAATATACTGGCTTGAATTGTTACAAATTGCATGAGAACTGAATATGACAGTATACCTAAACTGGGACTTTCCCAGGGATTCATAGCCTTTGGTGGGTCATTGCAATAGAAAAGGTACAAAAATCCTCCGTTTTCTTTATGGTACGTTTTAAAATTAACGTGTCGTTATGTTGACAACACCCCCCTTTTGTTAAATTCATGAAAAATGGAGCATAAATAAAGGAAGTGCCTGCCATAAGGTTTGAAGGTTCTGGAAATGGCAATGCTTTTCGAACAGAATCTGTCATTGTTTTCTAAGAGAATTATCCGCGATGGGCGAATGCCTCATGGCTAGGCTCCGGCGGATTATGCTCGCGAAATCATGGAATTATGCTTTCTTCGATTCTCGCATTATGCTCGGAAAATCCTCATATTATGCTTTGGCACGTGGGGATACATATTCACTTTGTTGCACTTATGGAGCCTCAAAGTTCGGAAAACTGTGCGTTTTTCGTACTTGCAAGTGGGCATACATGTCATGTAAGTCCATCAAAATGCTACACGAGTACTGTATCTCCATACCAAGGTGTCCTGGCATACTAGTACTAGTAATTTACAACATGGAAAAGAGAAAACAGTCAATACTCTTCTATTCATTGTTGACTTCTTTGATAAAAAGATTTTTTCATTGCCAACCTAGTTTAAGTTACCTTTGAAAATTATCATGTTCAACTGTCTTCGTAATCGTCATACTCGTCCAGCCAATGTCACCCTCACCCTGCGAAAAGCCAGCTCATCTCTCCCGTAGCTCCCTCCATCTCTCCTTCCATCAAGACCGAGCACCAACATATTTCCGTCCGTCTGGAAATCTGCTGTTATCGTCCCGATCTATAAGAAAGGCCAACGCTCTCAGGCTGGCAACTACAGACCAATCTCTCTCCTTCCCGCTGTGTCCAAGGTCTGTGAACGTATTTTCTTTGAGTCTCTGTACTGCCACGTCACCCCAGCGCTTTCACCATCTCAATCCGGTTTCTGCCGTGGAGACTCCACAACTTTCCAACTAACGCGTCTAGTACAAGACATCTACACCCAGCGGAACCTCAGGCGGCATGTTGGCATCGTGTTCTTTGACCTAGCGAAAGCTTTCGACACCGTCTGGCATCGTGGTCTGCTTGCAAAGCTAGAGTCCGTCTTCTTGGTACATGGTCCAGCCCTGCAATGGCTCTCATCCTATCTTTCCTGCCGCCACCAGACTGTCAGAGTATCTACCTCCCTATCAGACCCATTACTCGTGTTAGTCGTGTCTGGGGTACCCCAGGGGTCCATACTTGGGCCGCTCCTATTTCTACTGTACGTTAATGACTTGCCAGCCCTTGTACCAAATGTAAGTCTTTTTGCTGACGACACTGCTCTGATGTGCTCCGACAGCTCGGCAGACAACCTCACGGCCTCCATGCAGTCCGGGGTCAACGCTACAGTAACATGGATGGAAACCTGGAAACTGAAGCCTAACCTCGCCAAAACCGAGGCCATGTTCTTCTCTCCCTCGCCCCCCACTCAGCTTCTGTATTTTCCTGGTCTAAATAGTACACCTATTAAAGTTGTTAACGAGCACAAGCACCTGGGCGTTATTCTCGACCGCCAACTCTCCTGGTCTCCACAAGTCCAGTCTGTGTGCAAGCGTGCGAGTGCGTCCTTAGGTATGCTACAACCCCACTGCCAACACTTGAATGATAACTGCAGAGAATTGTTCTTTAAGTCGTACATTTTGCCTATATTTGACTATTGCGATATAGCTTGGTGCGGGTTGTCTCAGACTTTACTCCACAGACTGGAGGTACATCAACGCTTGCTTCTGAAAATTCTGTTTCGAAAAGACCAAACATTTGCCTCCCTTTGTCTTTATAAACTTGCTTCCACGCACCCTCTTCTTGCCCGACATCAGCAGCATCTTTGTATCCTTGTGCAAAAAATCTTCCTAGCCCAAGTCCCGAAACATATTGCCAAGTACAACTGGTTTGTTACCACTAGACCAACACGCAATGCCTTATCACTGCCCCGAGCTAGTTCCTCTCTGTTTTTGAAATCCCCTTTCTTCTCAGCATACTCCCTTTGGTCTAACCTGCCTACTAGCATTAAGACATGCCAGGATTTCACGAAATTCACAGTCCAGCTTTCCACACTGTCTCATCCGAAGTGATCCCATGTATTATTAATGTGCCTCCCTTTCTTTTTCTCTCCCTATCTCCTTTCCCTCTCTGACAGCATCTTTCTTTTTTTTCCCTTTTTAGCTTGCCGTGGTTGGCTATCACCTGACCTCTCATGTTTATTGGCAGTCTTCGGACGGGCCAGGAGATGTTGAATAAATAAATAAATAAATAAAATAACATACCGAGCAATATCCATAGCCTGCACAGTCATGGTTGCTAAAATACTGACTGACGGGTCATGACTGCATAATGTACATGTGCGCGGAGTTTTGCGGGCTACCCGTCACTATCTCGTCCGCCCCAGGCCGATAAAGGCTGATTCACTCGCATCGTCTGCAACATCAGTGTACTGTATCAGTGTGAGAAAGAACTTTGAAGAAGACGAGTTCGAGCATACGATAATGTATTGCCAGGATTCCTACCCTGCTTTTCATTGAAAACACTATCTGCATGACCTCCAAACCCTTTACCATGCAGACCGCCAGCACTGAGCAGGTGCATTCTTTGTACAAGTGTAGCCTACCTACTAGAACTGTGGTACAACCATATTATACAATGTAGATATGCTCCTACCTCCGAAAGGATGCCAAATTATGCTCCAAATTTTCAACCATCAAATTATTCCAATAATTATGCCGGCATAATCCGCCGGTGCCTACTCATGGCTTCAATTAGTAATTTAAAGGACATAATTATCATCTTCGTTCTGCGCTTCCTAGAACTTCAGAATATTTGAAAGTCTGAAAGCAGCTATTAAAGTCAAGAGTTATCTCTACAGCATCTACAGAAAATACCCATCCCCACAAATTTGAACAAAAACAAACACCAACGTACCTATGTATAATGCCTGTCCAGATCCTGCCATCGCTGCTACATCCGCAACCTCCGTGCCATGATGTCTCCCACAAACCCTCGCCTCCCATCCCTCCCTGTGCTCATTCGTCAACTGCGAAATCCTACCAGCGCCCGGGTCATACCTTCGAAGATGGTGGGCCCCAATGGTTGAACAAGCACCTCCTCGTCATCCATTGGTAACTTATTGAACCGCCACGTCGCCAGTGCTGGCTTACAGGTTGACCCCGATGCTCCTGTTCCCCCTATTTCCTCCCTACCTCCACCAGCAACTACATTGCACTCCCTGATCATCACCTCATCGAATGTTCACAAGTTTTATTGCAAGACTGCCTCTGAACAAATCCCCCGGAGCTGATAGGATCACCAATGAGATTCTCACGAAACTGAGCTACTCAATTGCCCGCCCATTCTCCATTCCTTTTAACCTTTCCCTCTCCTCCGGCACATTACCTTCACGATGGAAGTCAGCCACTGTCATTCCAGTGTACAAAAATAAAGGCGACAAGAACGACCCGTCTAATTACCGACCAATCTTCCTCCTGTCCTGTGTCTCCAAACTGCTAGGGGGAATAGTGTACGACCGCTTGTATGGCCATATCTCCCCTTTTCTTCACCCAGCACAATCTGGCTTCCGTCGTAAGGACAACACATCACTGCAATTGTCCCGCATAATCCAAGACCTCTGCTCCCTAAAAGACCAGCGGCAGGTCTCCTGCATCTGTTTCTTCGACCTCTCCAAGGCCTTCGACGCCGTGTAGCACAAGGGCCTGATCGCCAAACTTCGTGCCCATGGTGGCTCCGGCTCCCTACTCGCCTGGATAACTAGCTTCCTCTTGGACCAAAATCAGTGCTTCATATTGAATGGAACCTTATCTCACCCCGAGTCTGTGACATCCGGTGTGCCCCAGGGCCCAATTTTAGGTCCCCTGCTCTTCCTCACATACGTTAATGACCTCCCCTATGCAATTCCCAATATTTCTTTGTCTGCAGATGATACCACTGTCCTTGCTTCTTCCCCATCTTACGCCACCCTGTACCCCAAAGTTCAGACCTGACCTTTGTTCACTGGATGAGCACTTGTTTTTTTTGTTTTTTTTTTGCCTTCCACTAATTTTTTTTTTAAATTTATTACTCAAATTTTCAAGATCAAAAGGAAAGCTTTGCAATAATAACAACAATAAACCGTAGCCTGTAGAATGTAAAAAGTCACTGAGTACAGTTTAATTCAATATCCATGTCCAGTATTTATAATAAAAATAATCTGCTGCAATTTATAGATTCTCACATGCGAGCAACCTGGGCCTCAGCAACAACCAGCTCAGCAGACTCCGGATGCCGAACCGATCGCTCACGGAAAAGACCCCGTGAACCCCGCAAACACATGATGCATGATCGCAACAGGGCAAATGAGAGACGGCATCTGATGTAAGATATTACGTGGGAGTACTGCTCCTTCCTCCTTTCCGCTCTCAATAACGCGATTCGGCGATTGAGTGATGTCGCCGCTCTTCCCATGCCACCACTTGCCGACAGCACAACAGGCATGAACGTCGCATGCTCCACCTCTCTCACTCTCTCTTCATAACATCGTCGCTTTTCTTTTTCATGGCGCCGATAGACAGTGGTGTGTGGTGCAGATCGATTTGAGCGTGCATGAGGATTAAAAACCCGTATATCAA